GGTTAAAATTAAACATTTCCTTCTCTGGTTAGTGTTTATTGGTAGACTTTTAAAGTCCTCCTTCCTTATCTATGACCTCCTGAATGGAAGGAGTGCCTGCCACTATGAAATGTTTATCCATGTGTTATATCTAACCCATTGCCATCAAGTAGATTCCAACTCACAGTGACCCATTAGCAAAGAGTAGAATTGCCCCATAGGGTTTCCAAGGCTGTAAATCTTTAGGGAAGCAGACTGCCACAGCTTTCTACCACAGGGCAGCTGGTGGATTTGAACCCTCGACTTTTTGGTTAGAATCGGACTGCTTAACCACGGCTCCTATGGGTTATCTAGAAGCCTCAAATGAGCATTCAATTTTCTAATGTCATTATTATCATCGTCATTATGATTTATCTCCCACTCCGTCCTAGGCTTTGTAGTAACTATATATATTACCTCTAATTTTCACAAACTCTCTGCAAGTAAATCCCCAGAGGTTAGAGTTGCCAGATAAAATAGACAATACCAGTTAAATTTGTTCTTAAAGCCACTGGCTTGTGGTATTTCTATTATAACAGCACTAGGAAACTAAGATAGGAATTCTGGTGATGTAGCTCCTTACATGGTTAGTGATTGGCTGCTGAGATTTCCAACCTTGGAAACCCAACGAGGGTCATTACAAGTCAGAATCAACTCGATGGCAGTGAGTTTGGTTTGGTTTGAGGAAACTAAGATATAGTGTTTTATAGATCTCAGTGCAAGTGAAAAAAAATCCATACTTCAAAATTCATTTAATTGTGCAATTGAGATATTTCATCTAACATCTGTTAGAAGTGATTAATCTGGCATGCTGAAAGGCAAATGATGAGAATAATCTAATTCTATAATTGCCTTCCAAGAAATTAATGTGCTCAATTAAGATTATGTCCCTTGAATTAATATCAGAATGGGCAGTACTGTGTGAAAATACATTTTTCAAAGATGAAATCTATAGAATCTCATTACAGATCAAGATAAACAGATGTACATTTGCAATGGATT